AGGAATGCCCTTTTTTCTCCTCTAGAGGCTCGTTCCTCTCATCCTTCAGGCCCATGGGACACTTCCCTGGTCTTGCCACCTTTATAGCTGGGCTTCCGTGGCAGCTTGTCAAAGCCCTTGATGAGCTGTCACTGTCATTTCCCTGCCAAGTTTTACAGACTGCAAATGTGTCTTGCTCATTCTTCTAGTCCACAACAGAGGACATTGTCTAGCTCAGGAACAGCAGATGAAATAGTTCGAGATAAACTTATGAATGAACAGATGAATGAATGAATACGTACAGGGCGGAAGGAAGCAGCCGCTCCTAAGAGAGCCGGGGTGTGAGCTGGGACTGGGATCGCGTGTCCTCATTCTCTGAGGCCAATAATTTATGATTTTGTGATTCCATGACCAATATTTTAGTGCTTCCCTCTAGGCTGCAGATTTTGTGACTGGAGACCCAAACAGTGAAAGATTGCTATCTCTAAAAATATTCCTTTAAATATATTTGAGACATAATCAAGAAAACGTAATTGAGTGTATTGGGCAAGTCTTTTGAGGCAATTAAGACACATTTCAAAACAGCTTACTGGGACCCACCCTCTCCTCCAATTAAGACAGATCTGATTCACATAAATGCTTCAGTCTTCCACTTCCCAAAGGAGGCCAGTGCACTTGCAATTTTACCCTAAGCATTTTCATCAAACTCTAGTTAGTGATTAGGCGAAGCCTTGCCTGAGTTCCTCTGCTGTTTCCAAAATACAGACCAGCGATACAACATCTAGACTTATGATAGCAATGACTACTTCTTTTTCTGTTTATAAATCAACGACCTATTCTGCTCACAAAACGCACACAAAAACTTTAAAAAAAATGTTCTCTGTGCTTCTATTTCTATTCTCTAATGCAAACTCCTGCCTTTGGTAGGTAGAAACAGAGACAATCTTCTTCTTTGTGCTGTGACTCATGTGTCTTTATCCCCACAATTGTTACCCTGGGCAGGCCCATGGTGAACACAATGGAAACGCAAGAATAGTTTATAACTGGAAAATAAGCACATTCCGGAGAAGTACACTCGAAGCATTATCAAAGTAGAATCTGCAACAGCACCAACAAGAGTAAACAAAAGCCCACGCAAGAGAAGTGTAAATATTTCATGAAGCTAAGCCTTAATCAACTCTCTCTCCAAATCTTGCTGGTGTTGTAAACACTTCAGTTCCTTGTCCTACCATGACCCAGATTCCTTGCAAAAATAAAATGAAAACATGGACCGATGGATCTTCAACCAATGTGCTGTGAAAAATATTTAGGTGGGGTATAGCCAAGTACGGCTTTAACAAGAGAAAGAACATACCTTTAATAAAGATGGTAGCTTCTTGGGTGACCACTCAGAGCTCTGTTTCTCCCCTCCCCCTCCAAGCCCTGGCCTCTCTCCCACCTCCTCTGCTCGGCTTCCTGGACAATCACATCCTCTTAACCTTGAACTGTCTACACCCCAAGCAGTGATTTCTCCTAAGGTCCCTGCAGGGGACTCTTTAAACCTGATCCAGAGCTGCTGCCTTTCCCCTACCCAAAATTCACTTTCCAGGGTAAGTATCCCTTCTTTTCCCTCCTTCCTTGTCCATTGTTGCGTCTGAAATTTTGCCTACATCTTTTCCATTTGCCTGGATGGCATGAGAATCCGCTGTGTGTACTGGGTGACAGTCTTCTTCAGACCTTTTTCTAAAATCCATTCGAAAGCACCGTTTATTACCTCTGATTTAATGTGGTTCCAAAGTTCACCTCTAGGTACAAACAGGTCTCGACAATGATTTCCCTTAATCAACCTCTGCCCTGCCTTCTTTTTCTCTCTCCACCTACCCTAAGACAAACTGTATACACGTACATGTTTGTGTGTGTGTGTGTGCACATCACATAAATGCATATGCATGTGTAGGATTATAATATTTTGACCTTAAAGGAAATAAGCTTAGGGAAATACGAAAAATGTCAAACACACACACGCACACGCACACACACCTATTCGGGTATACGCAGAGTGTGCAGACCCGATTGATTATAAATCTCCCAGCCCGAGAACAGCAGGCGTCTTTTCCCGTTTACCTTCAAAACCATAGCTTAAGAGCAATGACCTTGCAGAGAAATTGTTCACCTGCGAGGAAGGGAACCCCTCCAGGAGCGCCGGATGGGATCGGGACAAGAGCAACAGGCAAAGGATCCCCGAGCAGAAGGTGGAACCGAATCCCTCCCCCTGGCACCGAACACCGCAGTGCTCGCGTCCCCCGGGGTTGGCCGCTGGGCGGAGGTGGCGCGGGGGGCGTCTCCTCCGCGGCTGCGGGTCGCCTACCTGCTCTCGCCCGGCTCTGTCAGGCGCGGCGGGGCCAATGCCAGCGCTGTGGCAGGGGCTTCCCGTCGCATATCCAGGCGCTGGCTCTCGGCGCCACACCGGTGGCTCTGGCGGGCCCGCGAGCTGCGGTCCTTTTCCAGTCCAGTCCCAGAGTGAGCTCCGGTGCGTTCAGGAACTGAAATTACTATGCAAAGAGCAGAGGCGACGCGCAGGAGCCGGGAGGAGACCGCGGGGGCAGCCCCCACCTTGGGGCTGCAGCCGCCGCGGTCGCCACTGGGCGCAGAGCCAATTTGAGGGTGGGAGTGCACGTGCCCGACTGTTCATCCGTCAGGGCCTGGGTGCGCCCATCTGGTCCACGCTGCCCGGCTGGAGCAGCCGAGCAAGGGGTGGCAGCTTCGCAGGGGCGGCGGCTGCAGTGGCGGCAGTGCTGCGCGACAGTGTGGGAAGCTGGGCAGGGGCCCGCAGGTTGTGGTTCTGCCGCCGGGAGACCAGTGGCGGACGGAAAGTTAAGCAGGTGATGAAGGAATAGAGCTGGGGGCCCAGAGCCACTCAGCGGGCATTATGGCCCCTGCTCCATCCCTCGGGTCGCCCGAATGAATGCATGGCTGAGTCTAGACTGGAGCCGTTTCTAATAAAGCCACGTGCCGTGAAGATCGGAATATGGGGCGCTCCCCCCACGTTTAATGTGCGTTGCCAAATGTACGGGGTCCTGGGCACTTGCAGAAGGCGTGGCTGATAGTGTCCCTGTCCTTCTCCCTTCCCTTCTCTTCCCCCTTCTCGGGGGCGTGGACGCCTTTGGAAATCGTCCCAGCTCTGCAGCTCCAGCACTATGAATGGGTATAGTATGGCTAGCAGCTGTGATGGTGCAAAGTGCTACAGTGAAAGACTGTTATTAACCGAGTATTTGTGAGCAGGTGCCGCGCCGAATGCCTTGTGAGCGACCTCGCTGTCACTACG